AATTATATTAGGAATCTTGAAAATTGTAGATGATATCCCATATGTTTTAAAAAAGGGTGCATTTTTATTTTTAAAGTTTTTTTAGTATTCCACAAGGTTCTAATTTAATACAGTTGAATGCATTTCAATCATATTTCTTGTATATTACCTTAAATTTTCAATAAGAAATTTTGATAACCAAACAAATTATCCTAATTTCTATAATTCTGTTTTTCTGCATTTTTTGGGTAATTATTTTCTTTAACATTCCTCAAGGTTCAGTTGCAGAACGATTTGAAAATACCATTCTTGTAAGTAAAGTCTATGAAAATACCATAAATAACACTGTTTCAAAAAATCTGAAGAAACTTAATAGGTATGCCTCAGGGTGCCACGTTGGGGCCGTCAGCATTTACGACAGGTATTAATTAACATTTAATGTAAAACCATTTATTTCGCCGGGTTTTTTGCTTGTTTAACGTTATAAATTTGCCGGTAGAACTTAATTTGAAATATTAATGGTTGTTGGTTAAAATTTATGTAGATTTAACACGAATACTAAAGTTCATGTTTGGAGTAAATCAAATATTTTATTTGTTTTTTTTTGCCTTTAGATCAAACATGCGAAATTTTTTAGCTTCTTTGACGATATGAAGATCGTTCTGGTGCATGGTCGAGATTCAAAAAGACCAGTTCCTGAGTTTCAATCAATAAAATTTGTAAGTAGGCGTATAAAAGAAGGTTTTGAGCGTTTCATTCATACTTTTTACGCAGTGAATGAGACACCATGAAAACGTAGGTCTTGTCGACATCGATTTTTATCAGTTATATTTGTACAATAAAAAAATGGATCGATGTTTTTGTTCAGGTGGTTTGAACTGGAATCTCTGGAAATTGAGATTTTGTTCATTTAGCAAGTGAGAGTGTCTTATGTTTTTAATAACATAATTTCATCTATAAACATTCTAAATAAAAAATTAAAACCCCTATAGGTCATTCCCATCGAAACAACATTTCTAACGTTTTTCACGAAGCAAGAATGGCGAAATCAAGTTTTTTTTTCTATACAGATGTTTATTCAACGAAGCATAGACCAACTGCTCGCCTAGCTATACGTTATTTTTTATTTCTGCGAACTGACAACAAAAACTATTCTGGCGGGTGAGTCACCCCTAAAAAAGGGTGCCCATTGCCGAATTTATATGGGGAACAGACCCATTTAACTAACTCGATCACGAAATATAATAGATAAATTTTTGTGATACTAATGCAAGTATTTTTTGAATTTTATTGCGGTGTGCCACAGGATCGCTTCTTGGGAGCACCTATGAATGATTTCCTTCCTACTTATTCACCATTAATACTTGTCGACCATGCAAAATTTACCTTACAAAATGATTTAGGGGATTATAATTTACATACATTTTTGCAGAACCAGTTTCGGGGATATGTTACACAAAAGCCGTATCTTTTTACACGGGAACTCGTTCCAGTGAAAAAAATTCAAGCATTTTATGTCCATGGCACGTTTTTGCAGAAAAAATACACCAGATTACAATAAATTATGCATTTAGATATGCTTCATTTCGATATAGATTGTTGCACGAGCCATCAGTTGTATATAATATATAGTATACACGGATTTTTTTTTCTAAATGTAAGAATACCTTTATTCTTAAAAACTTAACTTGATTTAAGTATAATTAGCAAGTACAGTTGAAACAAGATGATTGACCTAATTTTGTCAAGGCTAAAACTAACATTAAACTAAATATTAATCTTTCTTCAAACAGGCAGATCTTATTCTTGCCTGTTAAATGTTAAGAAAGACTTTAAATGAAATAATCCTATTGTTAATTTAAGATTAACAATCGATTAGACCAAATTTAGGAAAATTCCCTCTATTCTGTTCTTAAAGATATAAAACTATACTGGATTTAAATATAATTATATTTATTCTAAGATTAGTAAATATTGGTACGACTGGTCTATTCTTAAAAATATCCCCCACTCACGAAAGTGTCCGACATTTTGGAAGATTAGTTCTTGTGTTAGTTAATATTTGGTTTGGAATTATGAAAAAGCTGCTAAATTAGTGGAATTTGATAGAAATAACCACCAAATGTATGTGTAGGTAATAATTATTACTGAATTGAATTTTAGATGTTGGAGTGATACCTATTAGGTTGGCCGAAGAATCACATAAAAAACAATTATGTATATTTTACCTCTAGATTATAGGCACGAATAAAAATTTTGGTTAAACAGGCCAATATAGTCTAAAAATGCAAACAAAATCAACGTGTCTGAAGGTTTAAAATTTGAAACATTGTAAAAAAAGTTATGTAATAAAGACAATGCTATAGACCAATATCATTTTTTTCAGGTTAAGTTAAGCAATAATTGTCTATTCTTTTTTTAACTTCTGCTCGATTTTAAAGGTTAAGATATAATGACCATGATTATTTTAAAAGGTAAAGAGTGGATTATCCTATCTATTTTTCTCTATCAGTCTAAGAAAAAAAGAGATAGCATAATCCACTCTTATAAATAATAATAATAATAAACATGGCCATGTCATCCAACCTTTATTTAAAGTCGAGCAAAAGTTAAAAAAATAATAGACAATATTTGAAACAATTATTGCTTAACTTAACTTAACATAAAGATTCCTTATATTTAATCCAAAACTAAATATTGTATCGCCAAGAATTATAACATTTGTATCAAAAAATACTTATTCTTAAATTAAGCATAGTGTATATTTTATTTGAGGGTGCTTGCATGCATGCATTTAAAATAATATGATAGTTTTTCTTGAAATAAGAATAAGTTTACCCTTGAATACTATGAAATAGTTTGACCTTTTGGGGATGTACCTATATGACATAAAAAATTATAAATTTCTCAACCAAAATCAAAACAAACAAAATCAAAATTTTATAAAAGCAAAATCCCTGTTACGTTGGTTATTTTTCCTTACTGTTGCTAGGTGCTTGAAAATCAATGGCAATTTCTTGAAAGGCACTCTTTTGTCAAAACAATTGGTAATTCAATCCTTGTGTATTTCTTGTTCAGGTGTGAGTTAGGTAGGTATATGGATCCTAAGACATCCAAAAGCCAATGATGCATTTTTTTTTCTAAAAATCCACATGTTTTGTAACCACGATATTTCTGTAACGGTTCGAACATTTTTTTGTGGAGAATCGGTACAAGACTAACAGCAACCAATACATACATACATAGCTAGTTATCTTATAAAATCGTTATATTCTCTTTCATTAGAATAATGTAATTCAATCTTATCTCTAAGGCAGCATGTGTAACTGCCTAATCGGTTTTGTGCGCCGCAGAAAAGAAAAGGAACTTGCTTACAATTTATTTCGACAGGACCGGAAGTCGAACGTTAGGCCCCCTCCCCACTTTCGATGCCGCTCTCTTGCTCTTGCACATGGGTGCCGGTTAGTTCGGTCATAGGATGAAAAACAGAAACATGTGCTTGCATCCGTAGGAAGTTAAATTAAATATTTTTGGGGTATACAGGGGGCGCCAAAAGTTGAGAGAAAGATATTTTTGACTATTTTATGTAGTTCTCATATAATAGTTGTTTTTAAGTACTTATAGAAAAATAATATGATGTTTTTAGATGTCAAGACAGTTTCTTAAGGTAGCCAAGACCATAGAAAACAATGAAAATTGATTATTTTTATGTTTTTCTTTTTTATAGAGAACGACTGGATACTTTTTGAGGTTACAAATATAGTTTTAAAGATTTGAGGTTAATTTATACGTTCTATAAACATTTTGGCAACTAATGGTGTATTTTTACATACTTTAGAATGTTAGGCATTAATGGTGTATGATGGGGAATTTAAAATTACTATAATAGTTATTTATGCCATTAGGTTAAGAAGTAAGGCTTTTTGTGCTAAGCTCAAGGTACAATTGAGCGAAGCACAAAAAGGCACTTCTTGGCCGAATGGCATACAACATTTTATCTTCAAAGCACTTTATATAGGTCAATTTAATTCAACATCAAAGCGGCCTAACCTCACTTTTTAGAATCTCATTTATTTATTAGCTAAAGATTACATTCAATGTACAATAATTATTATTGCTTTTAGAAGCAGTAATAGTTTGACAATACCTAGCATCATGATTTAAGTAGAAATGGATTTTTGCTATTACCTACATTGAATTCAATTAATTGTTTAATAAATAGGTAGGTACCTATCTAATTTCAATTTGTTTGGATTTTTATATAAAAAATAGGTAGTTTGGAGTGTTTTAGCTGTGTTTAACATTTAATTTCATTGAAAACTTAAAGCAAATTAAAACTTAAAGATAATTATAATCTTGCGTTTTATTGGTTGCCTAACCTCACTTTTTGTTTTATTATTCATATTTAATTTAACAATAATTTAATGAAAAATATTAAACATAACAGCAAAACAAACAAATTAGTGCTTATTATAAATAAATTAAACCAGTTTAGTACGTTAATTTCTTAAAAAAGGATTAATTTGTCAAAACAATACCCCTAGCGAGAAAAAATCGAACTAATTACTTGCCTCATAAAAATTTGTATCGACCTAGGCCATAACAAGGTATTTCTTTATCGAATGTTGACAACAGTTTAAATTATAGACCGCGTGGAGATAAAATCAATTATTTTTTGTTGTTTTGGAGTTTTTGACAAAAAACTATGTTGTTTTCTGGACGGTATTTGATTTCTTGTTTCTTTTGAAGGGCGTTGTCTTATAATCCTTCCTATGTAAAGGGAAGTAGGTAAATTGTTGTTTATCTGCTGACTTCTTTATGTCTTGAAAAACATTTAATCAGAGCTATTGAAATAATGTTTTTGATGTAATTAATTCATCAACACCTGTTGTTTTCAAAAATGTACTTTTCGCTGTGTTGTGGATGATGTGAATGTGTTTGGGCCGGCTGTGATCAATAGAATACATTCCTAACCGGCCGTTTTAAAATAAACAACATTCGGTATTTTCTCGTTTTCTTACCTGGGTTCAGGGTCCTCCGCCTCGAACACTTGGTCTTGGTCTTCGTCGTGTTGCTCCTGAAACTTTTCCATCTTCCCCGCACGATATTTAAAATTGCAAATAATAAAAAGCGCACTTCAATAACACTGTTCTCTAATGATAAACGAAATAATTATGATGAACGTGGAACTTAAACACTACATAACACGATACGATAGCACTATATAATTAAGGGCCGAAAATTTCCGATCAAATAATTTTCAATTTTTTTTTTTGGTTGGTGATAAAGAGAAAGAGAAAATTATGTAACACTACATATCACTCTAAGTTCGAGCTAATACACACTAACTCGGGTTGAATACCGACGCTGCGTCCTATGCGAGTAACGCGCATGGGCCACGCCCACCCCCGGTTCGGGCCCCCCTCCACCCCCTCGCCCGCCGAGGGGTGAGGAGCTTACTTCCCCCACCATCGCCGTAAGCCGTGTTTCCAAAGCCCTTATGTACTGAGCGACAAAAAATTAACAATTTTTCATATACAGGGAGCGCTATCATATCTTTGTTTTCCTATGGTTTTTATTATACACGGCCGTACGTAGAGAAATGTATAGTAAATTTTAGATAGTAAAAAAAATATAGTAAAATTTACTTTAACAAATTTTTAGGGTAACAATATTATATATTCGTCAATACAATATTAAGATTGTAATACAAAATACTATTTTTTTATTATACAATTTTGGTAAAAATTACAACACCAATATTAATATAAATGTATAATATATATTTTAATTTTTAATATGTTCGTATAGTAAATTGATTAAACTATCTACAAATAGTAATATTTACTATATGATTTAATCAAATGTAAGGTGTAGGGGAAGGTGGGGGAATTCTGCGCATCTAAGCAAAATCTCTAGTATCTTTGTTAAGTTTAAATGTGAAATTTTGCAATTAATACCAGCGATAGTCTAATATGTTTACTATGTGTATATAATGCGCAATTTATGAAAAAAAATGTTTGGTAGGTATGCAAAAACTACATTTTTTTAAATAATGCATTTGCGCAAAATTATCCACCTATCAGGGTAATTTTGCGCATCATAGTGGGAAAATTTGCGCTGTATATATAGAGAAAGATTTGTAGGTATCTAAATAAACCGTTTTATTTCTATAATATTATTATAATAAAACATAAAAATAAAACAAAACTATTTTCTCTATGAAACAAACAAAACAAACAAAATAAAAAATAAATAACTAAAAATAAAATTTTTCTTCTTAGAAATAAGAGGGTCTACATGCAGCATTTGTCAAATATGTTAGTGATGCCGCGAGACGAGACGAGACGAGAAAAGTCCTTCTCTCGTCTCGTCTCGTGCAGCGAGAGAAAATGGGTCTCTCGTCTCGTCGAGAATACTCTTTTCTCGCTCGAGAGTGCCTTTCTCTCGTCTCGTCTCGTTTCTCTCGTGGTAAAAGTACCTAAGTATGAATATAAAAATTATTTGGAATAAAATACAAATTCGTTTATATTTTATATATATATATATATATATATATTTAAACTGAAAATAAAAAAAAATGTGTGCCAAGACCACACTAATAAAGTAAGACTTTTTACGCCGAAAATGTTGCGCATTTGAATCAAATAGTTGGATCTATGTGGAGTAGTTACATCTAGTATTATACACCTATAATAGGTGTTTCTTTTAACTTGAGACAGCTCAATATCTCGTGAAATACGCATTTCACAGAAAAATGTCTTAAATAAAAGGTTAATGTGACCAAAGGGGACATTATTTGGTGCTACCGCTAGCCACCCCCTACCCCTCCTTAAGGGTGAAACGGGGGTAACTTTAGAAAGTCAAATGAAATGACCCGATTTTTTCACAGATTTTGGTAGTACATAAAAAAATGAATAACTTTTATTTGAAACTTTTTTTTTCAATTTATCAACAGATGGCGCTGTAATTCAAAATTTAAGAAAATTGGGTTTCCTTGTAAAATGTATTATTTGAAACGTTTGAAAAGCAAAAATTAACATTAAATCAACAATAGTCGGCTCTGAAAACAATTTATAACAAATGTTCAAAATGTCATCCTTTCATTTCGACACATTTTTGAATGCGGGTAATGAATTCTGGCTCTACCATGTCCTCCCGAGTTGTAGGAATTGCAGCGTAAACTTTTTCTTTCAAGTAACCCCACAGGAAGAAGTCTGGCAGATCGTTTTCTAGAAAATTCCGCTAATTTTCACCATTTAATGCCGTTCGCCAAAGGTACCGCACCAAACGTTTACCGACCAGGGACGCTGGTGTCGAAATGGAAGGACGACATTTCGAACATTTGTTATAAATTGTTTTTAGAGCCGACTATTGTCTCGTCGAGACGAGACGAGAGGCGAGAATCTCTCGTATCGGCGGCATCACTAAAATATGTAGTTTTAGGGTTTTTTTTTCGCTACACTCCGCGTGTGCCCAAATGGAACTGTTTATGCTGAACAATCTAGGCTCCTGTATACCAAAGCTCCCATATTGGCCAAATTTTGCAGCGCAAAATTACCCCAATTTTTCAGCGTAAAATTACCCCCATTGCAAGAAAAATATTGTGATACTAAAAAACTTTCCAAAAGTTAACCTAAACAATTTAAACATACACCAGATTACGAGGAAAGATCATATAAAGTTGTGTTATAAACATTTAAGCGATTGGACAGAAATTTAAACTTAACTCGTAGCGGAAACGACATGGATTTCTTAGATCAAAGTACATGTATCACAGTTAGCTAGTGACCATGGTCACTAGCTAAAAGCTACAAGCTAAATTGCGGTACACTTTAGTCCCCGTATACCCAAAGCAACGTTTCCAAGTTTGCAACTTTCAAAAAATGTATTATTTACTTCATATCTGGAAGAATTGTTTATGCGTAAAATTACCCACCGCGCAAAATTCACCCACCTTCCCCTACATCTAATATTATAATATATTACACATTAATAAAAAATATAGTAAAAATAAAAATACTTCTATGTTTAAGGTAAATAAACAATATATTTAAATATAATATACAATATATCATCATATATAATCATTCAATTTTCTTAGTTTCTTCAATAAACTTTCTTGACCCATTACTGGTAATACTTATAAGAAAGAATTGAACCTACTTGGTTGCATAGTATGTACCGATTGCGGCAAAGGCGTGTGGATCACGTGATGTTCTTACATCTCGCCTCTGTTGGCTTACCAACCATGTTATATAAGCCCAGGTATTTCTTTGTTTTGGGTGTGTTCCACTACTACAAGTTGCTCGGCAGTGTCGTGTCCACGCTTATGATACCCAATATAGGTCAAAACAACTGTCTGTCGGTATTTGAAGTTGATGGAACGCACTCAAAACAAAAAACTTTGGCGAGTTGTAGGTTCAATTTTTTCTCATAACATTTTTCACGGTGCTGTTCTGAGAGGTGATTTTTGGACTTTCTGTGAAACCTAATTTTTTTTATATTCTTGTTAATTAGGTCATAACTAAAATTTTAAGAGCAAAATAAAAAAAATTTGACGGTTAATTTTGTTTTAATTGGATGTTTATTAAAAATATGTATGCACACTTTCAATTCTCCAATTAAAACTTGCGATTTTATTTAAATATTATCATAACTTTTTAAATCAGATTAAAGATTAGTTAATATCCTAAAAAAATGTCTATACATTTTTTATATCTTTTACTGTTTTGTTGTAATACACGTTTAAAGTTTTAATTTAAGGTTAAATTTTATTTTATTTAGGGCCGATTTATTCATTTTTGATTTATTTGACAAATAATTTCTTTGGATACTAGATATTGCCAAGACATGAAAGTTATCGGCCCGATAAACTTTACTAAAGATGAATAAACCGGTCCTAAATTTCATGAATTTCTTCGTAACTTTTACTACAATTTTTCATTTTTGTTTATAAAAAACACTTTAAAAAACTAAACAAAAATTATAGAATACGTACATATACTGAAAATGACAATTCAAACGTCAAATAAATTTTTAATAGATCTAAGTTTCATGGCAACCTTTAAGGATATATTAATTAAGGGAACATAAATGTATACGTCAAAGGTTAGATTAAAAGTTTGAACGTTTATTGCAACAAAACAGTAAAATATATAAAAAAAATTGTAAAAACCTTTTTTTTAGTTATGCAAATATTAAATATTTAAATTAAATCGCTAGTTTTAATTGGATAATTGAAAGAGTGCATAATATTTTTAATAAACAGCCAATTAAAACAATTCAAACCGTCAAATTTTTTTTATTTTGCTCTTAAAATTTTAGTCATGAGTCATGACTCATGACCTAATTAACAAAAATATAAAAAAAAATTAGGTTTCACAGAAAGTCCAAAAATCACCTCTTAGAACAGCACCGTGTTTTGTATATTAAAAAGTACAATAAATATGTTACAATTTTTAATTGATAACATTTTAAAATTTACTATACTTATTAGTAATGGAAAAAATCTAATTATAATAAGAATTAAAAACAAAATTGGTTGAGAATAATAATATTTTACCTTAAGGTTTAACATACATCGATATTTAAAAATTACTAAATATGCATAGTATCTGGCAATATACAAGATATTAATAAAATAGTAATATAAATTATAGTAAAGGGTATTATAATTATGGTAATCAGCATTATACTTTTCTCTCCTTGTAGGTGTAAAATAATATATAAGTTATCTTTTAAACGAAGAAAGGTATCGACGTCGGATAAAAACCATGGTCAAGGATATTAAGTATACTACTTTTTGACGTCACATTAATAGGTGCCTATTTAAGGGGTGCCAACTTAAAAATTTCAAACGGAAAGAGGGGTTGTAATACCTCATTTGAAAGGTATTTCGATTCTCTATCCAATGCTATTTAAATTTTTGTTTTAGGTTTTAAGACAATGGGACTCTTTAGTGTAACACTATTTATCAACTTTTTATTTCATTGGAAATGCTTCGCGCTCGCCCGTTGGAAGAAAAACAGAAGCTAAGTTCTTTGCTAATTTATCTATTTTGCAAAAATTCTATAAAAAAATGAATTTTATATCTTAAATTTAATTTGGTCAAATTTTACTTTGGATAGTTGGTATAGTCATCGGTTTGACAGTTAATGTCAAAATCGATTCGCCATTATTTACAATAAGCGGCTGTTAATGTTAAAGAAGAAAAAAAGGATTTTCTTTGGTGTTAGACAAAATTCATTGCCAGAAAAGTCTCGTGTACTAGAAAAATCATAAAAATATTATAACCAATATGCAAAATATTATGCTGTTTAAAGTATAGCCAACCTAT